ATGAAATGCCAGTATGTGGTTATGTATTAAATTTTGGTATATTTTATGATGAAGGACGTTTAAACAATTATGGTCAAATAAAAGTAGAGGTATGATGATGGTAACATGTATAAAAATATGAGTTAAAATACTTGATTTAATATGAATTATACTTGATGACGGTGGAAGAGATGCACGAAAGCCTTTTGTAACCAACTGATACACTTTCTACAGGATGTAAAGAAAGAAGATTCTATGTGTTATGTTTGTTTTGAAAATTAAAAATAAAAAAGAAATGTTTAAAAAAGAGAGGGAGAAAAGCTTCACACAGACAGGTCTAGTTGCCATCTTGCCATATTTTTTTTAAAAAAAACCTTTTCTTCAAATATCATTTTACTGAGGGGGGTTTTCTTAACGCTAACCCTGAGAAATATGCTTTGTTTAGTGGTGGGCTTTTTTAGCCTATTGATGCTTCAATGGAAGGAGAATCTGTTGCTTTATATTTATTTATATTTATTTATGGTACTTGTCTCTGTACAAGTCAGGATTTGGGTCCTCAACAAGTTAGGAATAGCAAAAGCACTGGTGAGATTTGAACTGCTGGCAGTCGGCAGAATTAGCCTGCAATACTGCATTCTTACCACCGTGCCACTAGGGCTCTTCTCAATTGCTTAAGAGACTTCAGGAAAAGGATTTGGGGACATCAAGAGAAAGTAATTGGCATTGCCCATGTGGTGACATCATTTGTAACAATAACACGGGGCAGATCATGTGAATTCTAGGGTACAGAAAAATGAAACAACAAAGCTGGAAGGGACCTTGGAGGTCTTCTACCTGCTGCTTAAGCAGAAGACCTTACACCATTTCAGACACGTGGTTGGCCAATCTCTTCTTAAAAATCTCCACTGCTGGAGAATCGGAACTTCTGAACACAAGCTGTTCCACTGCTTAATTGTTCTGTCGGGAAAGACCTCCTTATTTCTAGGTGGGTTCTCTCCTTAATTAATTCTCCACCACTGATTCTTGCCTTGCCTTCAGATGCTTTGGCGAATAGATTGACACCTCCCCTCTTCTCTGTGGCAGCCCCTCAAATATTGGAAGACCACTATCATGTCAACCCTAATCCTTCTTTTCANAGCCTGTGGGCAATTGAAAACACATCTGGGAAAGAGCCACAGGGAACCTTTCTTGCCATGGAGATGACAGGGTCGAGCCTTTGCGGGGATCTCAATGGTGACTTTTCAAAGGATAATATACATGGTATTTTCAGAATGAGTAAGATGGAAAATCATCTTAAAGTTGGGAAGGAAGATAGCGACAATGAGAAAAGAGAGACAGAGGGGGAAATGGGAGGAGCCCTAAGTACTTTTAACTAACTAACTAGAATAACTTTATTGTCACTTTAAATCTATACTAATCGGGATACATTAAAATGAAATTTCATTGCATACAGCTCTCAAAGGGTCACCGTCTCCAAAATACACTGCATAAATATGACAAAAATAATAGTAAATAAATAAATAAATAAATAATGAACAAAATATGCATATATACCCACAGTTTACAGACGGATGGCATATAGGGACCAAAGCTCTTATAGAATCTGCTAGTCCTGCTAGACATACTTCAAAATTGAAATCTCCTCCCGGAGGGGAGCAACAAAAACAAATCATCAAGTGGGAATGTCATGAAATACAGCCGTCGCAAATCGAGAAGACTAACCGTAAAAGACAAATCGGTGCTTCTGAAACTAGTGCTTTCTATGGAGAATTCAGCTCTTCCCTCAGCATCTGTCACTTGATGGAGCTGCTGGCCAGTTGCCGTCATCAAAATCTCCACTTTTCCATTGTTGATCGGTACCTCGTTGCTGTCTACCAGCTTCACCTGTGCATGAAAAGCCGAATATTTCAGGATTTACCAATTCTGACTTTCCTTCAGGGACGCCAAGCTTTCCCATCAAGCCATCTTAATCTTTTCCCCATCACTACAACTCTGTGTAAAAGAAGAGACTAGCAGGGGAGACCTGAGCCTGTGAGTAGCTTTTGGGGCTATGGCTGAGAAAAAAAGGGAACGATTTCTAAACCCAAGCAAGGAGCCGCTGAGAGATGGTGTTACAGGTTGGTTTAATAAATTGACTTTTTGCTAGGGAAAAAGGGCTTTGGGAGTTTCAAAGGAGAGCATCTGCAGGGGATGATAGCAATAGCAATAGCCCTTCTATACTGCCCCACAGTGCTTTACATACTCTCTGGACAGTTTACAATGTTGGCATGTTGTCCCCAACCATCTGGGTCCTCAGCTGCAGGCTAACTCACTACTCACCACCAGCAGTTCGATGCCCTAAGCGGCTCAATGTTGACTCAATCTTCCATCCTTCCGAGGTGGGTAAAATGAGGACCCAGATGGTTGGGGCAATAGGCCGGCTCTGTAAACTGCTTAGAGAGGGCTGTAAAGCACTGTGAAATTGTACATAAGCCTAAGTGTTATTGCTATTGCACTGAGGCATGATCGGGACTTTGACTGCCATCTTGACTTTTTGGGTCTACCACCATCATTTCCATGGTTACCCCTGCTTAATAATCCTGCTAATGAACAAAGACTGAAAGGCTCCTATTGTAGACTCCAGCTTGCTTGCTTGCTTCTTCCTTCCCTCCTATTTATATTCCCCCCCCCCTCTCTCTCTATTGATCTATCATCTATCTATCTATCTATCATCTGTTGGAAGAAATGTCCATCTGGGTTCNGGGATCCATGAAGCAGCAGGTGAATCTCCCTCCAGTAACATCTCCCACTGCACAGGAGGGCAACGGACATAAAACAGGCCCCATGGCACATGCCATGGAGTCCTTCAACCCTTTGCCATCCCAAAAACCCTAAATGCTGCCTAAGACCCATGAGTCAGTGCTGTTAGTAGTGCCTTCCCATGGCTCTCCAGGGTTTCTTGACTCTGGATTGAACTTGGGGCCTTCTGGGTACCAGGTGATTGGGAACTGCATCCCATTCTCTAGCCTTTATTCGTCCACCTTGCATGTTTTGGTTATCCTTGAAAACAAAGTCACATCCAGCATGCCAGCCTGCTGACTACAAGACACTGAGGCCCTAATCCTCTCTGTGGATCTCTGAGAAGGGCCTGTCCCAGAGGAAACGGAGCATAGGCATCTGGGCAGCCTTTTAACGTAGTTGCAAAGAGGCATCACTGTGATGCCCAGCAAAAACTCAGGGTGCAGGAAGCGGCTGCGGAGATTTGGGAGAAATGACCTGTTCCTACTGCTTGAGACCATCCCTTTCCTCTGCCCAATGGCAGGGCTGGCTATGTGTGTCCACCTTCCATGCCCTGCCAGTGTGAAATCGCATATAGTGAACCCAGCTGTGAGTGGGAAAAGGAAGAGAGTTTTTCAGACATGCAAGAGGCACCCAGCATTCAGCAAGAGAGAACTGGAGCCCCATAGATGGAGACACCCCGGGAACTTCTGGGAAGCTTTTTGTCAAGCAGGAGGGGGAGGGTCATTTGGAGGGAGAACATTTACCTTCTCCCTGTTCCACTGGTTGCCTGTGTGTCCCTGTTCGAATGATGTTATCCCTAGCCTTGACCTGCATGAGGAAAAAAATCCTGTTAGATATGACGCCTTGGAGAAATCGATCGATCAGTCAATTGATTGATTGATTTCCAACTCTAAGCACTGGCTATCATGTTAGATATATGGACCCCTAGAATTGTGGAGCTGCAATTGTCTAGCTTAACCTTTTGGTTAAAAGAATAGAATAATAATTCACCCATGGTGTTGATCAGGAATCTGGTGGATTTGATGATTGNATGTTTGTCAGAGTGTACACAGTGTGACTACTATTTTGAGACAACCCAGCAGCAAAATACAGTACACAGAGGTTTTTCAAGTCTCATTCCTCATCCTGACCAATTACAAGATTACGGGGAAAACATCAAACAAAGCTGGTTAATATATCAGTTGTGCCTGTGAAGCGGAACAAGAGGTGGGGATATGTGGCAGGGAACTGGAGGGAATGCTGTTAAAGCAACATCAGACAACTCAGAGTTATTCCTTGGGAATGAGCAGCCCAAGCTGTGCTTGATAGTGGAGGAAGGAATAGGAGCCAAGCCTCCATCGATTAACATATCTGAAGTAAAAACAACAAATTACAGGTGGGAGGCAGATGGATGGGCCTATCACACCCACAATGGCTAAATTGATTAATTATGTATAAAGGCAGATATCTCTTTAATGGTAATTTTTACACTATGACGATGTTAGCAGAGGCTAATGACACCTAAGTGGATAATATATTTTAACTTCCAGAGATCACAATGGTCTGTCTCTTCTTTTATAACTACATCTGGAACTTTTTAGGATATTTCAATGTATGTATGTATGTATGTATGTATGTGTACAGGTATAGATACAAGTATAGATGTGGGTGTGGGTGTATGTATGTATGTATGTATACACACACATGTACTAGGCAAAACCAGGCAATCAATCAATCTTCAACTCTAACATGGAAGCACACACAGAGAGAATACATGGAGAACTACAATGGAGATAGAACACGAGGAGAGAGAGAGACACCCACACATGGCCTCTCTTATATAGACAGCTTCTTAAAGTGGCAGAACCCTGCTGACTCATTCTCATTTCATCATCTCGGTTTACAGCCTACAGCAGCTGGTCAGCTATTAAATCATTATCACCTTAACAATGTCTTATCTGTAAATGACTTTTTCTGTTTTAATCGCAATAATACATGTGCGAACAATCACTTTAAACTCAATGTAAATCATTCTAAACTTGACTGTAAAAATATGATTTCTGTAATAGAGTTATCAAAGTCTGGAATGCCCTACTTGATTCAGTTGTCTCAGCTGCAAATTTTCACACTTTCAGTTACAAATTGACTTCCATGGACCTTATGTCATACTTAAGTGGTCAGAAGAGGGGGTTTACATAAGTGCACTAATGTGCCTATCGTCCCTGTCATTGTATTTTTATTCTCTTATTCTTGTTCTTGTTTTTGTTTGACAAATTCCAATAAATAAAATGAATGGAATGAAGTAATCTTTGTCATGTATATTGTAATCTTGAGTTGCCCTCTGTCACTAACCTCAAGCCACGATTTGACAGGATCAATGGAATTACTGGCTGATTCCCCAAAAATAGGCTTAATTGTCTGGCAACAGCCTGGACAAGCAGATAGCAAAAGAGTAACTCAAGAACTATTTCTCAAAGGATCAGGAGCAAAGAAGACTTGGCGGATATTAGCATCAATAGAGTGGAGGAGCACCAGTTTAGAGAAGACCTGTTCTGGGTCATTAAGATTCTGCCTTTCTTTAACACCACAACATAAAATTCACAGTTTTACCTTGTTGGAGAAGCACTTTTCTACGGTGAAGTTTCTCGAGCCAGCAACGAGTTCTCCGCTGGGCAAAATAGTGTAGAGGAGCAAGTGGATCTTAGGAGAAGTGTCGACATCCACTGAGAGATTCAAAAGGAAGTCTCCTTTGATTTCTAAAGGATGAAAGTCCCAGGTAGCGGAAAGAGAAAGAGAGTTCGAAAGAGACATATAAATTTCATTAGGTAGATAGGTAGCAGTGATGGGTTCCGGATCCCGTTGCAACTGCTATGGTTGCAAAGGGGCCTGGCGTCCTCCACATGAATGCGCGAGGTGCATGTACACATGTGCATGGCATGCACAACCGTAGTATCTGTCAACGATGCCTCGGCAAACCTCGGCGATGCTCCAGCTGCTCAGCAGAGCAGCACGCAGACGCTATATGTGCCATGCACGTGTGTGGAAGCGCCAAAGGCTTTAAAGGACAGGTAAGGAGCTTGTTCGGATGGGTGGGCCCTCCAGAGCACCGTACCAGAATGGTACACGGTGCTCCGGGCAGGCTCTGGTACACCCGTACCAGGGTGTACTCCTGCAACCCACAACTGGTAGGTAGGTAGGTAGGCAGGCAGGCAGGCAGGCAGGCAGGCAGGCAGACAGACAGACAGACAGACAGACAGACAGATAGTTAGTCAGTCAGGGTTCTGACAGATGCCCTAATTAAATCCTGAGCCTCAAGCCAAGCTTCAAAAGAAATCTAATTATTTATGTGAAACCAGCTCTGACCCCGCATAATGTAAGGCCCCAATCATGACCCTGTTTCCCCCCCGCCTCCCCCCATCAATACTTGGGATACAGCCTTGAGAGAGATAAGTCTGGAATGTGCATCCGTCTTTGGCTGCTGTGCCATTTCATCAGTTTCCCATCTCCCCTTTCCTATGGCAACTCAAGAGCAGGCCAGGGATGCTTTGCAAGTTGACATAGAGATAGATAGATAGATAGATAGATAGATAGATAGATAGATAGATAGATAGATAGATAGATAGATAGATA